GAAAATCAAAAGAAAACAAACCAATTAATCTATCATTAAAATAATAAAAATGTTATTGCTTATATAAAACTCAAAATGCGAAAAAAAGGCGGCCGTGAAATAAAAACAAAGTCTTGGATTAACGTTGCCATGTGTTTAACGGAAAGATGCTTTATGCTAAGCTTGGCGAAGTTAATAAAGTAGAGATAAAAGAGAAGGACAAGATATTTACGAGATCGAGAAAACAACCAAAACGAATCATGAAACTTGATTCTAAATAAACCGGTGGTTTTAAATCTTATTCTAGAATTCTATCATGTAACAAAAAATATTTCGTTCCAGTCGATCTTTAAACATAATTAACAATTATGTTTATTATTTCTTATGCCTTTTCAACAGACAATTTTGATAGTTCAGATCATATTTGTGAGGATCGATCACTATATTTTGCTATCATACAAAAATGTGACATGTGAGCGCTGAATTATCGATGATATAAACAACACGTTTGCGGATAATATTTTGATATCCGGTCGTGAACGTGCTCGTGAGCTCATTTTGCGAAAGAGTCCATCTGTTTTCCGTTTCGCGACCGCGACACAAAGAAGAAACAGCGACGACAAAGAAGAAAGAGCTAGGGGAACGGCGACGATGACGGCGCGACGTGCACGTCGTCATCGTGCCATGCGTGTCGCAATCCGTAAATAAAAACGACAGGGCCACGTCTTCCGTCGGAGAAGATTTCTCAATCGTCCCCACGACCGCCCATGTCCTACCTCCAGAATATTTAACGATCATCGGCCGGATTTGACCGCAAGAAAGACATGAGTGTCACGATTTTAGAGAATATAAAACTAATAAGCGATAAATCACGTTCACGTCAATCGATAATGTTTGTACATAATTTTTTTACAAGGTTCCGAAAGACCACGAAAACAGAAAGGTATCATGTCTAATTTCATCTCTTGTACACCGCATAATTAGCAAGTAAAATAATTTTAGATCAAATTTTTATTTGTGTTCCCTGCATTTTATATTGTAAAACAACAGTGATAAAATAAAACTGCCTAGCACTTGAAAAGCCGCGATTAATCCATTTCCACCAAAATAAGCTGTTTATCCTATCGCGAACTTCCTTTTGGTTTCATTTATCAGAACGACGGATTTTTTTATCTATTATTTGCGGTATTTTTTTAGTCTCTCTTCATTATCTGTATAATTAGACTCTTATATAAATATAAGTTTCTTTTAAATTAAGATATATATTTTTTCTATTATAATATTCGTTGAGAAAAAGGAAAATTTTCATTTATATCATAATTAAGTTTAAGGAGGGAAACCAGTGTAACAGCTAAAGAAAAGGCTATTTTAAAGGATTTTTTGGAAATCTGGCACGCCTGAAAATCTTTATATATTAAATCCTACAAGTCGCTTTCTCTTTGAGAGTGTATCGCCAAATGTAGTACGACAAAGATCCCGCTGATTTTTCATTGTATCGATGATTTACAATATAATGATGACACGGTCGGCAAGTCACACAAAGGTCATAAAGCTGAAGACTGTAGAGGAGAAATCTTAATACTATATATATAACGTATAATATATGTAGATTCAATTAAAACGTTACAATATATCATTGACGTCAGAATATATAGACGGAGCATTTTGAGAGGGATAACTGATAATTGTAATAAAGGGGAAGTGCATGAACATCAGCAAATTCCGCCGTCAGCG